GATTATACTAAGTTGGAAAAACTATTAATATGTAGAACTTAATGGGAAGACATTCATTTAGTAGAAAAATATTGAGAGACTTACTTAGAGAATATAGAAATGTTTTCGAAAAAAAGGAACTATTAGATACTGTGGAAAGTAAATTTACCACTGAAGTTTATATATATATATATATATGTATAAATTCTGCTATAAAACACATATTTAGAGGCTTTATTTTTACTCTTATGGCCCAGCTCAAATGTTACCTCTTTATGCCTTTCCTGATCTTTTCTGGATGTAATTAATTATTGTCTAATATATGCTAATGTAATACAGTGCTTTGTGTAACATAGTGCTTTGTATCTCTGCTAAGATGTATATCATATTATTTGTTTATGTGTTTTCTTCCCCTCTAGAATTTTTGAAGGCAGGGATTCTGTCCTATTGATTTTTTAATCCATTTTATATGATCATCTTGTTTGGCATGGGATAATTGTAGAAACAAAGATAGATAAGTAATTTAATTTTGATTCTGAGACTTCCCTGGTGGCTCAGATGGTAAAGCGTCTGCCTACAATGCGGGAGACCCGGGTTCAGTCCCTGAGTCAGGAATATCCCCTGGAGAAGGAAATGGCAACTCCATCACTCTTACCTGGAAAATCCCATGGACACAGTCCACAGGGTCGCAAAGAGTCGGACATGACTGAGCGACTTCACTCACTTTAGAATTCTGTGCCCCAAATGTCTTAATGTACTTAATGATAAGGTCCCCTACATTGTTGCTCCAACTGGTATTTCGATCTCTATTTTTCAGTTTTCTCCTTTTGTATACTCTAAAATGGTCATACTACTCCTAAATATGTACTTCCTTCCTTCCTGCCATTTCTTTATTCCTGAATTCTTTGCCTGGCCTGTCCTTTCAATCGCTTTATAAGATCCCTTCAAATGCTAATTGTTCTAAGAAGCTTTTCCTAAATAACTTGCCAAGTGTGTGCTCTCTTCTCTTAATAAATCGCCTTATAGATAAACTTGTGCTTGCTTCTCTTAGGCCAGGTTTACCATATTTTATTCGTATATGATGTGCTCTTCTTGTGCCATTACTCCTTATCTCCCCCATTTAGATTCTGAACTTCCTGAGGGTAGTGGCCTTTGTAGTTTCTACAGAGTTGCTTTGGATGTAATGGACAGTCCATAATATTTGCTTAGTTAAATTGAAAGTTAAAATTAGACTGACCTTTTTATGAATTTGTAAGATAGTACATTTATTAGAATGAAATAAGGTGATAGATCTTAAAGAGGAACTTAATTGAGCGTTGTATCAGTTGTAGAATGAAGTGTTTAAATCAGAAAAGGTGACTTTTTTTTTAGATTTTATGGGCACTTTTTTATAGTTTATCTTTAGTTTCTATTTTTATAACTAACATTGACTTCTTACGTGTGTCTTGTCGCATACGAAATGTGTATCTTCTTAGATATAAGGTGTCCATTTTCCTCATTAGATGTTCCTCCTCTGAATGTACTTTAATAAAAGCACAAATATTGTATTTATTGGTAATGTATTCTATTGGTATTTACCTGTCTAGATCTCCTTTCAGAGGTCAGTTATTCATCATCCTAGTGCCTGGAAGTTATTTTTCAATAAGTGTGTGTTAGAAGAGTAAGCAGCAAAATTGTTTTCTTATTTAAAACTTTTACTCTTCATATTTTCAATAAGCTTTGGGTTACATAAATGTAGAAAATAGTTTGCTATAGTATAATCTATCATAATGTACAAACTTCAAAGACTGTACCATTTCTTTCCTAATTGGAATATTACATCTTAAGTGTATTTCCAGATCAGTGATCTAAAAAACCTTTAACTATTTCTTAAGAATAAAACAGATGTTCAGGCCTATAGTACATAGTATAAATTTGGGAATGTTTACTGTTATCACAATAATTGGGAATATATGAACTAATGTCATATGCTTCAGGTAATTTACTTTCAACATTCAACTGGGCAGTAGATTTTGTAGTTCTGAATTCTTGAAGTAATAGATTCTGTATATTCAAGAAATTATTTTAATCAATTCTAAGATGCATATTTTTTCTCCTTTTAATATCTCTGAAATTAGGATGTGTCTCAGTCACTGTCTGCCTGGTAGATGTCAGGGAGGAGTTGTCAGTTGGCTGTGTGTACAGAAACTTAGTCATAGCTATTTACGTTGCCATCACTTCAATTGGGCTGTGTATGTTGGTGCTGCTGCTGCTGCTGCTGCTAAGTCACTTCATTCGTGTCTGACTCTGTGCGACCCCATAGATGGCAGCCCACCAGGCTCCCCCGTCCCTGGGATTCTCCAGGCAAGAACACTGGAGTGGGTTGCCATTTCCTTCTCCAATGCGTGAAGTGAAAAGTGAAAGTGAAGTCACTCAATAGTGTCCAACTGTTTGTGACCCCATGGACTGCAGCCTACCAGGCTCCTCCGTCCATAGGATTTTCTAGGCAAGAGTACTAGACATGTTTAATTATTTTAAAGGTCTCAAAAGATAGACAGTTATTCAGCTTTTAAACAAAAAGTTATTGATTATACATAGAGGCCCAGAGACAGAGTAGCAGAGCATAAATTTAATATTCAGTTCAGTTGCTCAGTCGTGTCTGACTCTTTGTGACCCCATGAAGCACAGCACGCCAGGCCTGTCCATCACCAACTCCTGGAGTTTATTGAAACTCATATCCATTGAGTTGGTGATGCCATCCAACCATCGCATCCTCTGTCGTCCCCTTCTCCTCCTGCCTTCAATCTTCCCAGCATCAGGGTCTTTTAAAATAAGTCAGTTCTTCGCATGAGGTGGCCAAAGTATTGGAGTTTTAGCTTCAGCATCAGTCCTTCCAATGAATATTCATTATTGAAATTCATTATTCATATATTCGTTAGTGAAACAGATAAATGTTGAAGAAATGACAGCAATTCTACATTTTTTTTACAGAGCAACAATCAGGTTTTTTCTGGACCAAAAAGAGTACTTCTTGGAAGAAGAAATTGTCAAATCCTTCAGAATAAGTCTACTTCTAAAAATTTTTTTTTTAAGTTATAGATAGATTATAAAATAAAGATTCAAAGTGATATAATGTCATAGTTTATTTCTTCATGTTACATGGTACAACTAATGATGTACCTTATATTTGACAATATACTGGATTTCATAACTTCTGTTGTATTTCTTCTTTTTCCCTCTTGGTAAATGATCATATATCCATTAAAAAAAATATAGGACATTACTTTCTCTGATTAATGGGTTAGGTATACATAGGTGTTCCCTTGTCTAGTGTCTATAGCAGAACATAAGATATGGTCCAGAGAATTGATTTAACCCACTTTATTCTTTCTTTTTCTTCTTTTTAGCTAATGCTATGTTCAGATTAGAGCACATAGCACTCTGTTCATTTAGTCTCACAGTTATAAAATCTGGAAAAAATTTCTCTCTTTCTGTATTTTACTTTTTCTAAAATTATGTTTTTTGTTAAAGTACTTGTATACCATTGTGATTGATAAGTCCATTTCCAGGTAAAATTAATGTAAATTTACATAGTTTTTCCTTCTCAGAAAATTTTCAAGAGTATTTTTTCATTTAAATTGTGAGCAGAATAAATAAATAAATAAATAAATAAATTATGAGCAGACATTCTCTTTAGGAAATTTATATTTTCTAATATGGACCTTCCAAAATAGAAGCTCTGGAAGAGTTTTCTAGGCATTTGCTAGTTTTTGAATAAATTAATATGTAGAGGCGCAAGAATCTTCATTTGGGTTCTGTATACAAGACAGCGAGGGCAGAACTCTCAATTACCTTTGTTGAAAAAGTTTGGAGTAAATAATACAAGCCTGAAACGAAACTGGCAAGTAACCTATTAGATCCCTTCCACACATCAATTCTGTGTATGCTTATGTATGTTTATGTGATGTGTCTGTGTGTATAAATGCTGCCATTTTTTTTCTCTTGTGATTATTATAAGACTAATTTATTGCTTAGCTTAAGCTACTGTTTGTTTTTGCCTCAGCTTGATTATCAGTACATTTTATTTTGCACAGTTTAGTAAATATAATAAGCAAGAGGTATATTCTAAATGATTTAATGGTGGGAGACTTAGGGGTAGAGTAGTGAATATAGCTGTTAACAGAAAGGTACTTGGTTTTGCTACATGGATGTCTGTATCACTTGGCTCTCAGGAGGCTGATCTTCCATGGTAGCTGAACAAGAGAACCATGGTAGCAATATGATACAGCATCTCCAACATACCACATGTCTGTGTTGTCTGTCAGCTGACCAGATGGCTAACTGTTATCTCATTTAGGGCCAGCTTCTCATGACTTCATACAATTGTTCTTCTTGCTGTAATTTCATGTGTACCCTATGAAGTAGTAGCTTTATCTGCTCAAGAGGTGTACAGCAAAAGATCACAACATACTTGCTAATCTGAGAGGATCTGTTGTCAGTTACCTTAGCGCAACATAACTTTCAAGTGTAATACATAAGTATTTTGTACATGCTAGAGCTGTTGGGAGGCGATGGCCATTTCATGGTATGGGAGAGTCTGACATTCCATTCTCAAGTTTACTTTCTGTCATAATATGTGAACTTCATACTGAAGTAATATATGTTATTACTTTTAAATGCATATATATACATAGTCATGTCCCCTGTAGCAGCAACTTTTTCCTTGTAGGGAATATCACTGAGCTATTTGCAACGAATTACTCTACCAAAACATACTATACACTGAGATTGTATGTTTTTTAAATCATATATAAACTTTTTTGTAAAACTTTAATGAATATTCATTATTAAACTTTGCTTTTGTTCTTATTTCCTAGGATTCTGACACTTCATGACATGTCATTATCCAGAGCAATAATGAACATTGACCTGTTACGGATTAGTTGATGACCTTTGGAAATGATCCAGTAATATCTACTACAGAGAAACTGAATGTACTCCATTTGGAGTGAACAGCCCAGATTATTATTGAAGTTTTCAAGATGACAGATCCCATGATGGACTTTTTTGATGATGCCAATCTGTTTGGTGAGACCTTAGAAGGTTTGCCAGATGATGCATTTGTGCAACCAGGACCTGTTTCACTAGTTGATGAATTGAACTTGGGTGCAGAATTTGAACCTTTGCACATAGACTCACTGAATCATGTTCAAGGTACTCCAACACATCAGAAGATGACTGATTATGAACAGTTAAATCAGTTTGATTCAATGAAATTTCACCAAGTTAATCAGTCTTTTGGTAGCCCAGCTGAACATGTGTTATCACCACACTCTCAGTTTAATTGTTCTCCAATCCACCCCCAGAACCAACCGAATGGTTTGTTTCCAGATGTAGCAGATGGCAGTCCTATGTGGGGCCATCAGACAGCTACTAGCATTTCAAATCAAAATGGGTCTCCTTTTCACCAACCAGGACATTCTCACTCTATGCATCAAACTAAAAGCTTTGTGGCACACCATGACTTTGCCTTATTTCAGGCCAATGAACAACAAACACAGTGCACTTCGCTACGCTCCCAACAAAACAGAAATAATCTTAACCCAGGGCAAAATTCTCTTAGTCAGTCTAAAACTTTCATGGATGTTAATGTTTCTGGTCCACACAGAGTCAGTGTTAATCATCCACCACAAATGAATAATGCATCTACTTCACAACAGTCCCTTTCGATGCAGCAGTTTTCCCAAACATCAAACCCTTCAGTACACTTCCTCAAGTGTAGCAGTCACCAAGAAGGTAATTTTAATGGACCTTCTCCAAATATGACTTCTTGTTCTGTCAGTAATTCACAGCAGTTTTCTTCACATTATTCCTTTTCCAATAGTCATGTGTCACCAAATAGTCTTCTTCAACCCTCTGCAGTTCTTGCACCTAATCATACAAATCAGACTTTGTCTGATTTTACTGGGAGTAATTCCTTTTCACCTCATAGGGGAATCAAGCAAGAATCGACTCAGCATATGCTAAATCCTAATACATCGTTGAATTCAAGTACCTTCCAAATGTTGCATTCGTCACATCCTCAGGGTAATTACAATTCAAAGTTGTCTCCTGTGCACGTGAGCTTCCCAGATCCTGTGGACTCAGGAGCTCAGATGGGCCACTTCAGTGATCATGTAGAAACTAACGGCTTTTCGTCTTTGGAAGAGAATTTACTTCATCAAGTGGAGTCTCAAACTGAGCCATTCACAGGACTGGACCCAGAAGACCTCCTGCAGGAGGGGCTCCTTCCCCAGTTTGATGAGTCAGCATTTGGGCAGGATAATTCAAGTCATGTTTTAGATCATGACCTTGATCGGCAATTTACTTCACATCTTGTAACACGGCCTTCTGATATGGTTCAAACTCAGTTGCACAATCAGGCTCGGAGTTGGCATTCATCACTTTCTAATCATCAGCATTTACATGATAGAAATCGCCTGTGTTTACAGCGACAGGTATGTAACTCTTGTTTTGGTTTGGGGTAGCGTGGGGGTTTTACTCACTGAGTTTATTTCATATGAGTTGTACTCAGAATTTCTCAAACTCAATAATTCTGTCAGGTGAATGTGCATATTTTGATGTAGATTTATACTGTTTCCGTAGTCTTATATTTGAGTCCTTCATTGATTTGCTCAAAACAATAAACTTCTATTATTTAGATTTTTAAAAAATATATATCTTTTATAAGATATTAAGACATCTTTTGTAATTTTCAGTTATGATTGCCTTTGACAGAAAGATTTATTATCAAAAACAAAAACTTAATAACCATAATTAAAGGGAAAACAATAGATTGGGAATGTTTTATTGCCAATATAATGGACATAGGGTTAATATTCCTATAAAAATAATTTGATAATTTGATGAGATCTCATTAGTTGATGATTAAATAAAATGTAAAAGCTGAAATTCACAAAAGTCAGTAAACTTGACATTCAGAATGATATGCAACTTTAGTAATAATTCAGTTGCAGTGTGGTTTCATTTTAGAAAAAATTTTTTAATTTGATGCTTAATATTGCAAATTTATGGTGAAATTGGAACTCACATAGCTTTGTAATTGATACAGATATTTTGGAAAGCAATTTGGTGGCACATGGCATATTTGAGTATAAAAACTTTATTACAGTAACCCAAATATGGCTAAAGTAATATACCCAAAGATAATTCTCTTGCTGTATCTAGAAGGGAAAATTGGAAACAGCACAATTTGTTATCACATCTATATTGGATGAACAGTTATAGGCATTAAAAAGACTTTGAAGACTGATAATATGTTAATAATGGTGGAAAAGCATAATTCAAAATTAAGATCCCAGTAAAGTGGTTAAGAGTACAGGCTCTGGTACCACACTACCTGGGTTAGAATCTTGGCTCATGTTACTTATTAAGTGTTCGTTGCATCTCATTTGCTTCATCTTTAAATACGGGATAATAATAGGGCTTTGATAAGAATGAAGCGAGTTATAACATGTAAAGTGCTTAAAACTAAAAAAATAAAGTGCTTAAAACTGTGCCTGGCATATCATACATGCTTAGCATATAATAAGCACTTAACACATTTTTTTTATAATTATACTTTTTTCATAGCAGTTTGAAAATATACTTATCAAAAATACTGGAAAGAAATAGGTTGTTTTAGGGTAGCACAATTGCTTTTCTTGCCTTTGGTTTTTATAGTTTTTGTCATATGAATGTATTACTTTAAAATTCTTTTGGTGTATTTAATGTAGTACTTTATCAACTTTCTGAAAATTTGTTGTTAAAGATTTATAAAATTGCTTTAATACCTTGTTTACCTGTGAGATTTGGTAGACAATGAAATATAGCATGGTTCTTGAAATTAAGTATTTATGGACCATTTTTTTTTTATTTCAAAGCTTTGAAGTGTCTGAAAAGGATAAAATCTTTATCTTTTGCTTTGTGGGTCATGATGTTTTTAGTACAGCTTTTGAATTGTCTAGATAGATTTAAGATATTTAAAAGCAACTTGTAAATTCTCTTCCTCCCCTTCTTTTTGTGGCCTGAATATAATAATATTATGATTTTGCTCCCTCTACTGGAAGAGGGTCGAGCATCTTGGACCTTGGGGAAAAACCACTGATCAAACCCAGGATCATGTATTCATTTTTTATGTATATTTCTGACTAGTTTGACTAATTAATTTGTCCAAGATATAATTGAAGTTATTAAATCTGAAATTTATTAACTTATTTCCTTAACTTTATTTTTCTAAGGACTTTTTTTTAATTCATGTTTTCCTAAACATGTACTCCTGACTTTAAAAAGAAGTTAAGACTTTCTTCTATAGATTTGGAATGAATGGAGAATAATTGTAAATATCTAAAATAGTCCCCAATACTAATATTTAGATATTAGTACTAAATCTAATACTCAACTTAATGCTATCTGAGAGAAATTCTTTTCACACCAATCCATCAGCCTTTAATAAATCATCTTATTTACACTGATACATTCATAAGGCTTTATTTAAATCTACTCATCTTCTTGTTTCAGAGTTTGTTTCATTTTGCTAACTTCTTATTCTTTTTGTTACATGTTTAAAATCTGATAAAGGGCAAATGTTTTTGAATACTTACATGACTTACTGAAAGTCTGTTCTCAAGTTTCCTATTATTTCTTTGTGTTAAGACTTAGAGTTGTGAGTTTCTGATTGTGGGGGTGGAGAGAAGAGATGGATTGGTAGAGAAGGTAGGAGATTATAATATGGTTAATAGAGATTGGATATAGATTTTATATGTATAGAATTATGTCAGATATCCCAATATGTGAAATTAAGCTATTTAGTATGTATAATTTATGATAAATTTTGGCAGAGCATATATAAGTCTTTTATCAGAATTTTTTGGCAATTTCTAAACGATAATGGTTACTACATAGCCAAAATGTTGTATTATTACAGTTTTCCCCAAGTTCTATGAAAAGAAATTTTTTCTTAATTTTTTTTTTTTAAGTTTCTTGCTTAAATGCAGTAATTTCATTTCAGACTAAATTAGCATTGTTAAGTATGTGTGTAGAAGTTAACAGATTAAAAACTAAGAAAGTGGCATAATTTTTGGTTTATTAGAATTCACATATTGTTATAGCCAAAACGAGATATTCATTAATCTATCGTTGGAAAACTCATGGATGGCACTCTATAATTGTAGAAACCTTCACTGAGAGTATTAAGTATGTAAAGAGTATCTGTAAGCCTTGCTTTTTCTTATTCCCCAATTGAGGTGGAGTATTCGTGGATATAATTTCAAAATCTTAGAATCTGTGTCAGTCATTAAAAACAGTGAATATTGCTGAGAAAATGTCTTATGTAATTGACTCTAGAATTTTACCATTTAAAAAAGAGAAAAGAAAAAAAGTGAGGTTCTACAGGAAGCATTTCTAAATGTAAATACAAAACATAATAGAGAAAATACTAACTTATTTACATCTCTGGTTGTTAGAGCAAAGGAATATTGAGAAAATAATACCATAAATTTTTCCTTGCTCTTTCATGATAAATACTGCTCTTTAGTGACACAAAATCTTTCATTTTTGTCTGATTATTTGTTAAGTGGAAATACTATATGGAGCACTGTGTGATCTTTGAATGTTTGTAAATTAAATTTACTGTAAAAGTTCTTTAGCAGTGAAAGATATGTGGGATATCTAAAATAGCTATCAGCATAGGAAATAGAATTTTAGGGTATATAATTGTACATAATTCCTTGTTGGCTTTTGTATTCTGATCAATTTATAACTTTATTTACCACCTTGAATTTTTTTTTTTAATTTTCCCTGAAGGTAGGGAAACCTGTCTTTTTTATAAGCTTTAAAAGAAAACTTACAGAAAGGTTTGAACAGCCTATGTAAGGCACATTTTAAAATACTGGATTTGGGGGAATTCCCCAGTGGTCCAATGTTAAGACTGCACTTTTCACTGCCAAGGGCCTGGGTTCAATCCCTGATTGAGGAACTAATATCCCACAGGTCACACAATGCGGCCAAATAAATAAATAAGAAAATATTGGGCTTCTTTTCTGACAAAAAATTTAATACATAATTATTATTTAAAAATTGAACAACATAGAAAACAGATGAAAAATAAGTTACTTCTAGTATCACTACAAGAAGATACCATTGTTGACATTCTTTAAGTTTCCAATGAGACCTGCTGTCTGTCTCTTCCCTATGTATTTTTGCATTTTTAAGAACAAAGTTGGGATCATATAGTTTATGCTTTTTGGAAAATTGCTTTTTTGTAATTATTATTAATGCAACAAATTATTGTTATATTTTGCAACAAATTAATATGTTGCAGGCATTTTTCATGTTGTAAAATATTTTTCTGAAAGTGATTTTGAATGGCTAAAAGTTTGCCTTCTTAAGTTTGCTAAGAGTTCTGAGTGCTAAGTTGCTTCAGTTGTGTCCAACTCTTTGTGAGCCCATGGACTGTAGCCCGCCAGGCTCCCTTGTCCATGGGATTCTCCAGGCAAAAATACTACAGTGAGTTGCCATTCCCTTCTCCAGGGGGGTCTTCCTGACCCAGGGATCCACCTGTGTCTCTTATGTCTCCTGCCTTCGTTAGCCAGCGGGTTCTTTACCACTAGCGCCTGGGAAGCCCGAGGTTGCTAAAGTGCAATATAAAAGTAAAGTTGTTATTGAGATCTGGAAAAAATCTGAGTCAAGGTAATTAAAATATTTTATATTTTTGTTGTGTTTATTACTGTAATAGTTCAGTTTGAAGTAGGTGTGTGATAGTAAGCAAAAACTAGAATATGCCCTATGATAGAGCATTATGTTTGTGCCAGTGCTGTTCTAAATGCTTAATATATGTTTCTAACACATTGATCCTTCACAGCAGTCCTTTTATTTGGAGTTAGTTAACTCTTTCAGTTTTCATTTGAGGAAACTGAGGTACAGAAAAGTTAAGTAATATATCCAAAGTCACACAGCCAGTGACCTGACTAGATTCAGATCGGATTTAGCTCCATTATATATGGTCTTAACTACTTTCACTTTACTTTGGAGTGTATTAATGCAGTGTGATGTTTAACAATAATACATTAAGTGATTCCTCCCTTCTCACCTGCCCCCTCCCCCTACCCCTTCAGAAATATACCTTACTGATGAGATGAAAACTTGCTTTAGAGTCTTTAAGTGAAGACCACTCAGCTCAGTTATTCTGGCTATACTGGCAGATAGTTTATTCATTATCAGAGGGAAAGACAACCCCAAAACAAAAAACAAAAGTAAAGTGAAATAGCTATTGCTTCAAAAAGTGTTTTCACTTTTTAAAATATAAGGTTGTGTTTAAGATGATAACAACAAATGCCCTAAAGATAAACCTTCAAATATTTGAAGGACTTTTGAGGCCGGAATTGCATCTACCAAGTGGAAGTCACAGAAAAGTAGATTAGTATAAGGAAGTTTGAAGTAAAACACTTTCACTGAAAGC